GCCCCTCAACCGCCTTCCCTTTGTTGGATCGGGCAAAAGAACCAGACGCGAAGCCCTTGTGAATCTTATCAAGCCCAAACACCCCGCCGGTAGGGGAAGACCTCGGAGCCGGAGTGGGCTCGGTTTGCTCCTCACCAAGGACATTGAATCTCGAGCCGGACCCTGGCGAAGCCTCATGTCGCTGTTTTTGAGGGGTAGCGCCCACTTTCTTAGGCCCGGTGTTTTGACGGCCACTAGGCTTACCTCTAGTTTTAGCAACTAACCACGGGCCATATAGGCTATGAGATGATTCCTGTCGCGTGCCCTTGGCCGCGGCATCCGGTTCCACAGCACCACCGCCATTGAGACCCTCACCCACATCTCTTACCTAATGCATTGATTTCAATTGTATTTGACTCTCCGCAATACTTTCGGTGCAATTTTTACTTAATTAATAATATATTTAAGACTTTAATAGTGTGGTCAAATTACAGAAAATAGACTATACTCAGTTCATTATATTATTATTAACTTGAGCCTAAATTAGATTTATCTAATTATTATATATATATATATATATATAAAGGTTTATTAAACCAGTAATTTTTTTGTTGATTCATATGGTTTAAACTCATGTTTTAAAATAGCCAAGAGATGTTATAATTTTTTTTTTTTTTTCACATGTTACATATTTTATATTCATGTGGTATGTTTGATAATTATAGCTGAAAAAATTATTTAAAATAGTTTATAAGTAAATTTCGAGCTTATAGTTGATAATTGAAAATTGACAGAATATTAATAAAGTATTTGATTGATGTAATTAGATGATAAGTCAATCTTTTTAAATGATGAAAAATAAACTTATAAATTAACTAAATAAGCTATAAGTTAGCTTATGAATTTACGAAATCCAAACACAAGAGTTACTTTATTTGAATGTGGAAAATGACCTCTTATACAAAAATATGTCAAATTTTATATGATACTATAAACTCAACTGAAGGTGCTTGATGCTTGTTGAGGCCCTTAAACGAAACGGACCGCTCATTAGCTTGTATCGACTCTTGTAAAATCGATCTCGTTTAATTCTCAAACCAAGCACAACGAAACTCGTAAGAGCCCGAGCTCATTTAGTTAACGAAACGAGATTTAATCAAGTTTATTGTCATATATAATATTATAATCTCAATGTGAATGGATAATGACCTTTCAAGACTTTGACCTTGACCATTTGCCCCACCTTGCCTATTTATATCCAACGGCCAATCCACCTTTTCTCGCTACACTTGCCCTAAAGCCCCTTTCTTGTTCCCCGTTATATACAG